TTACTCAAACATTGTTCAAAAGTCTGTTTATAATTGTTGCTTTCATAGCCAGCTAAGTAGCTAGAAGCTAGTTTTCTGGCTATTTATCAAGTTAGCTAAGATTATATATGGTAATAGTTCAAATCTCATGCTTTTTACATTAGTTTTCATATTTTCTTTAGGTTTTTGTGCTTCTTTCTACTTAAAATAGTCAATGTATAGTACAATAGTCCTTAGCATCCAAAGCTTTAACATCATTAAAAACCTTCAACGAAGCAGTTATTGTGCTGATGTTTCCGGAAACCAGATTAATGGGAAGATAAGATGTTAAAATAATCCAAATACTTCTTAAAAAATGCATTTCAGAGTCATTAAAACTACCATTGTAGCAGCATTGCATTAAAAATGAGTTCTACAAACCTAAATGGACTGTCACTATTCACCAAAGTTTGCTTTCCTCCATGTTATTGAGTTTTCTGTTTTTCTTTTTGAAAGTCTTGAAACTTTTATAATTAACTCTGAAGTAGGAATGACTTGAGTTTCATTTTGACTCCCTGCAGCGAGTCCGAGAGGTCTGATAATTATGTTTGATAATTATGGGCTCTGACTCTAATTTTATTCTAGCTCTCAGTTAATTCACTCAATCCCCTCATCAATACTTCATCAACAAAGCCAGGACAACCTAAGTGGATCTGATCCATCTCCAGACTTTATCGTCCCATTTACAGGTGTCATTAAAGACAATTTAAGAGAGGACTAAAGTGGTGAAATACTGAATGGTGCACCCTCTTACATGTTCTAGTTTGTTGGCAACGTCATGAACAAATGCATAGATTTTAAACTTTCACAAAGTAATCATTAGATGTCCATTTACAACTGATTACCAACCCAATTCAAGATGGCTGCCACAGGAAATACGACTGGAACTGGTTCTTGGCTCGATGATTGGGGACCACTGATGTGACTATGTCTGTGTATGTTTGTTAGCAAAATATCTCATGAATTGGATTGACTTCTGCAATCGACTCGTTTCAAGCTGGACACCACAGCTAATTGACCTTACGAAACACAAAACGGTTTCACCAATTTCTCTGATACTGAGCAACAGTTTAGTGTGGCAGTAGCTGAGAGGCATCCCCAACACATACTTGGAGCGCTAAGGGATTGCACTTGATTTGGCGGGTAATATGCATTCATTCAAGGCATTCTAGTTTTAATTTTTGAATTTATTATGGTGTAAAACTGACTCATGCACCATGTTAAAGGAGGCTTAGTTGATAAGGTGGCACATTTTTAAAATGTCTCTATCGGAGTTCAGACTTTTAATCGATGTTTTCTTAGGTTGTTTTTTTTTGTCTCTGGGACACAACTTCAACATGACATGTTTATTTTATTGCTGAGAAATCTATCTCGTCAGGTGAAGCTGTGCAGTTAAGCTCCTCCAGATTATTCGTCTTCATACGACCGTTATCCTTGACGGCAGTTTCTAATTATGTACCTGAGGGATTCTGGGTTATTATGCTTGTGAGGAAATTAAAGTTTAATGTGCGAGCGTGAAATCAATCCCAGTGAGAAGAAAAATCCATTCCGGCTCACGCTCCGTTGTCAAGATAAACAAGCTATAGGGTTTTTGTACCCACCAAGTTTGGTATGAAAAACGTTCTTGTTTGTTTCCACAGTAAACTGTTTGCAGGAGGGCTTCAGAATAGAAACAAATACTGAATTCATGCAGCAAAAGGGAGTAGTAAACACAGAGCTTATCCTCTAAGTAGCCATAAGCTGGTTGGTGAAATGGACCATACTATATTTCTTTGACATTTGACATATTACGTGACGTCTTCGTCCATCCGAACATCCATAAACTTTCTCTTGTCCAGGCAATAACTTCCTAAATGTACCAGTGTGAGAGCCTGCGTGAAGTTAATGATGACCAGTTGACCAATGAATACAGGGTGCAGTGATGGGTACGATAGTTACAGCCAGTTTTTAATCTTAGCACACCGTTATAGACAGCATCCAACATCTGCAGGGTGCTTGTAGGGGCATTCATGTAAATAATGTCCCCATAGTCAATGGAGGGAAGGAAAGTCACAGTTACAAGGCATTTCCTAGCATTCAGAGTTACAGGATCTTTTTCTGAAAATGAAACCCAAATTTAATTTCAATTTCTTTATCAAGTTTTCGACATGAAGCATAAAAAAGATGTGCATCGTCCAATATTCCCAAGTATTTGTAATAATTGACAAACTCAATAGGAACACCGTTTGTAGATAAGATAGAAGGGAGAACTGCTTGTACTTATTTCCTGTTTAAAAACAACACCCCTTTGGTTTTTTCAGCATTTAGCACAAGTTTGAGACCGAACAAGTCTTACTGAATGATGTCGAATGCAGACTATTAAAGCTGGAAAACCTTAGCAACTTTTCTAGCTCGACAATAAGCAACTGTATCGTCGGCATAGAAATGTAAGGATGTGTCAGGAATGATCTGACCTACATTACTTATGTAGATTGTAAAGAGAGTGGGTCCTAAGACTGAACCTTGTGGTACACCATTGTTAACAATTAGATAGCTGGAAGAAGTACCATTATGTTGAACACATTGCCTCTGATGTGAGAAATAATTAGAAAACCAACCGATAGTGTGATCTGAGAAACCAATTTCTGAGAGCTTATGACGTAAGTTGTCATGGTCTAGGGTATCAAAAGCTTTGGACAGGTCTAAATAAATAGTCCTTAGCATCCAAAGTTTCAACAACATCATTAAAAACCTTCAACGAAGCAGTCGTGCTGTGTTGTTTCCTGAAACCAGATTGATGGGAAGATGATGTTAAAAGAATCCAAATACTTCTTGACTTGAGTATTTATCAATTTTTCCAAAACCTTAGCTAGAATACACATCTGCATCATCACTAGTCGGAGTGTCACGTGCACTTTCCATAATTCCAGCATCAAGGTCAAGATCACAAATCAAGGTCAAATGTTATACAAGGTCTTTTCTATTCCGGGCCATTGCCATAGATTGTTTAGTAATAGTTTGTTGACGGGCGTATAGTTTTCTGTATTTGGTTCTCTCAGTAGAAATCTGGACTATGGGCTAAAATTTAGGGTCAAAAAATGAGATGAAAGCCAAACGAGAAGAAAATAAATGGGCGAGTAAAGCTGTAAAACAAAGAACAAAAAGAGAGCGAGCATTAGTTTATTAGAGGAGAAGAAGAGTGATGGAGATATTTAGGACAGTATGTTCTGGCTTACTGACAGTCTTATTGGCCATTAAGATTAAAGAAGCGTCTCATTTTTCTCGTGTTCGACTCGTCTTTTCCACTTGCACGCGCAGCGATAACTCTTCTCCTCGTCTTATTTTCTCTTGTCACTCTTTTCCTCGGCTCCCTCCGTCCCGTCCTGCAGCTGCCACATTCATCATGTCCCTCAGTCATATTTCTACAAGCATTTTTTTTTTCCCACGGTGAAATCAAGCACGAGTCACCGAGCATATTGTTCGACGCCTCTTCCTTCATTTGTCTCTTCTTCGATCGAACGCAGCATCTTGTTTGTGTTTGTCCACATTTTTTAATGTTCAGAACATGACGGGATTTATTTTTCTCCGGGGGAGACGCTTAAGTTTTAGTTTTTCATTTGACTTTCATAAGCCCAAGAAACAAATCCGTTATCAAACACTTGGAAACTTAAAAATCCGAGCCGATCTTAAGACTGCAATGTTTTTCTCTGATCTTGAATGTTATTTAATAAAATTGGAGCTTTTGTTTCCTGCATCATGGAAAAAAGTCTTGAAACATGTCAAACACGGGGCTGGATCAAATCATTGAAAACTATGACAAGAGCTGAGTAAAAAGGACAAAACACTAAACTGTAATTACACAATATGCTAAATGTGAATTTGGTATAGTTTAATTGAAAGGGCGCCATCTTTCTTCTTCTTGTTCCATTTGGGTTGCAGTTCTGAAAGAATGGGCCAAGCTGGGACCCCCCGTTAGCCACTTAGCTTGACACAAATGTTTAATATTAACAAATAAATATTTGTAATAAATTACTAGATCGTTTGTCATAGAAAATATGGTATTTGGGCATTGCAGAACATACAATGGCAGTGATTGTGCTTTCATTTCTGAGTGTTTAATCCTAACAGTCGTTTATTTTACCGGTAGACACGGTAACTTTTAGCTTGCTGGAAATCTTTGTTTCAAGATCCTTAAACGTTAAAAGAAGAATGTTGATGGATGACCCTGAACTATTAAAAAAAACAAAAAACGTTAAAGACAAAAACAACTGGACTTTATTTTGTAACAGAAGACGTTTTGCTTCTCATCCGAGGAGCTTGTCCTGGAGCTGGCTGTCCTGCGTTGAGCCTGTGTCTGTGGAGAAGCCGTTTGGTTTCTCCAGTATAGAGGTCTGGACAGTCCTCGCTGCACTGGACTGCATGCACCACACCACTCTGTTTGGGTGTTTTGTCCTTGGGGTGGACCAGTCTCTGTCTGAGAGTCCTGCTGGGTTTGAAATGTACTGGGATGTTGTGTTTGCAGAAAATCCTTCTGAGTTTCTCCGATACTCCAGCAACATAAGTTATCCCCTGGACGGGGGAGGAAACCCTGGGGACAACTCAGGACATGCTGGAGAAACTGTCTCTTTAATTTAATTAATTTGATTCGATGAACAAAAGTAGAGCTTCTCTTCTAACGCTAACGTGGTCCGGTTGCACCAAATGTGATGCACCCATCCATCCACCCATTATCTTCACCCATCACTTTCTGGGTTGCGGGGGTCACGGTTGCCCATATCCACCAGTCACTGTGTGAGAGGCGGGGGACACCTGGACAGGTCTCCGGTCCATCACAGGGACACATAGAGACAAACAACTGTTCACTTTCACCACACCTAGAGACAACTGATGCAGCTTTTAATTTAGAGTCAGACTGTGTTGAAATCTTTGATCATAGTCATGCAGAACATTTTAACTCGGTCTGATGAAGCCACTTTAAGAGTTTTTACTTTATTTTATTTCAGACCAGTGCCATGCAGACTGCCTGTCTTGTTCTGGGTCTCCTGACCACTGTGAGACTTGCAGAGACCCCAAAGCTTTCCTCCATCTGGGTCGCTGCCTCTCCGTCTGTCCGGTGGGCTTCTATGCTGAAGGACCACTTTGTGCAGGTAAGGCTGAAACATAAATAAATGCATACATCTGCACACAGCTGCATGGCAACCATAAAACACTCTGAAAATGTCTTGTTGCTTCACTGGAAACACTCAGCTGACACAACGGAAACGACTGAACTGAGGGGACCACAGTTAATTATTGTCCTTATGTAAATAAAAAAAATAAAAGAAATCTAGTTTTATTTTAAAGATGTCGTTGGCGGCAGACCGAGTTTCCCTTTCACTGATTTATGTGATGGGATCACTGCTCTGATGGAAATTTTTTCCTTCCTTATTTAAATGTGAGTTTTAAATGCGCTGATTAGCGGGCCGAACTGAGCTCACCTGCAGGCCTGATGTGGCCCCCGAACCACCAGTTAAAAGACCTGATAGAAGTCTGCTGACAACACTGTTGCCAAATTTTTGCTAGTTTTACCTGCTTTTCTACCCTTTTTTTTTTGCTTTAAATTACTCTTTTGCAGCTTTTAGTTCAAGTTTAGTGGGGTCAAAACAAGTCAGGCAGACCAAACTATGGCGTGGACGCTGGACATCTACTATCATAAGGATTTCGATAATCTGGCAACAAGTGAGTGAGGAGCTGAACAGGTGCATGAGATCAAGGCTGATTGCTGCGGTGGAGCAGAGTGGGCATGGCGCAGGGTGACAGTAGAGCTTGGACTTGAGCAGGAGAAAAACAAAACATGAGGACAAACTATGGTGGGGGGACAGCAAACATGACAGGAGGGGCAGAAACGTGACAATGATTTGCTAATTTTAGCTTCTCTTGTGGTAATTTTGGATTCGCCCATGCTAATCTTAGCCTCAGTTATGCTAATTGTAGATTCTCCTATGCTGATTTTAGCCTGTGATTTGCTAATTTTAGCTTCTCTTATGCTAATTTTAGCCTCTGATTTGTTAGTTTTAGCTTCTCTTATGCTAATTTTAGCCTCTGATTTGCTCATTTTAGTTTATGCCATTGAGCATCAACCTTGATGTTTATCCCATGTTAATTCTAGCCTCTGATTTGTTAGTTTTAGCTTCTCTTATGCTAATTTTAGCCTCTGATTTGTTAGTTTTAGCTTCTCTCATGCT